TTAAGATTGCACCCAAGAAAAACACATTTAATTACCCTCAATTCTAACTTCTCATTGTCAACATATGCATAAGCTAGACATCCAAATGGTTTTAACACTATGTAATTTGCAGGCTTCCTGAACTATAACTTAAAAGGAGTTTTCTCCTAAACATCCCATGATAGTGATTGATTGATTAGTTAGCAAGCAATTAAAGTTGCCTTAGCCCAAAAGGAATTTGCAAATTTTGAATTAGAAAGCATATACCGAACGTTCTCCATTATAATGCTATTCATCTTTCTCTACACCATTTTTCTAAGGCGTATAAACCATCATGCGACATTGAGTGATGCCTTACTATTAGCAATCGGCATTAACCCCTCTGAGCAAAACTCAGGCCCATTATTCTGATGAAGATACTTTACCGCCAATATCGTCTACTTTTCAACCTATACTTTCCAAAATCTAAAAGTACAAAAATGTTTCCCTTATGTTTTAAAAGGAAAGACTAGATCGATCTTGAGAAATCATTAATGATAGTAAGCATATAAAAAAGCTTCATCTTCCGAAGCAACTAACGTTGGTCCTCATAAATATGAGTGAACATAGTTAAGTAGTTATTTTGATTATTTGAATACCACTTATAAACCTTACTTTTTTTGCCTTACAATATAAAAAGCCTTCACAAAAATTGAAGTTGACAAACTTTTATTCACCAAGTAATCCTCTTCGACTCAATTCATACATGCCTTGAAAAATAATATGACTTAATCAAAGGCGACAATGACAAGACTAGTTTGGATCATATATAGATTTTGAAAAACTAGTTGCATCCCTTGAAATTGTTTTTCCATCACGAAATTAGAGGTTTGAGGTTTTTCGTTTGGCCCTTAAAGTGTCAGAACCATATTGAAATGCCATGAGCACTCCACTTTTTCCAACAAACTCATAACCCTTTTCGTCTAAGGAACTGAGGGGTAACAAGTTCTATCTAATGTCAAGAACATATTTAACATTTCCCATTGTTCGCGTAACTGCATCAAATATAAATTTTTTTACTGAGCCACGCCTAACCACTGAACATGTGGTATTGATCTAGTTAACTTCATCAAACATATAAAACCAATTTCTGTTAGGATCCATGTAAAAAGGACGACCAAAGTCTAGTGTCCATTCTCGAGTAGATTTTACACCATTTCAATAAACTGTTAGAAGGTCTCCACTACAACCATTCTTTGCCACATTGGATTCACCATAAGTTTTACCATGTTTACCACTTGATGCTGCTTTCTCTTTTTATTTATTCTTTAACTTGAAACATTCATTGATTATGCGTCTTTTTTATGGTAGTAATTGCAATTTTTTTTTGGTTTTTAGACTCAGATCTTACTCTATTGTAGGATTTCTCGTTCTTCCTTTTAACATTTGAACATTATAATTTCATGTCACTTAAACCACCACTTGTAATATGTTCGTTTTCTCATTTGAATCTAAATTTGTCAAAACTTCATCCAAAATGAGAGTGTCATGTCTATAAAAATAATATCACAAAAAGGGAGTATAAGATTGAGGCAAATATGATAGTAAAAATAAAGCCAAATCTTCATATTCATATTCAAATGTCTATATTTTCTAAGTTACCGAACGACTTTTTGAATGTGGATATATGTTCAGTTAAAGAACTCTCGTCAATCGTTGTAAGATTGAACAATCATAGCTTTAAATGCAACTTGTTTGGTAACCTCTTAGACATGAACACTTTCTCCAACTTTAGCCATAAAGAAGCCACTAAAGTTTGCTTTAAAACATCCCGTAAAACATCGTTTGAGAAGTGCAAAAAATTTTGGGATAAAGCTTTTAGATCTTCCATCTCTTTTTCCTCTTTAGACCATGAAGTATGTATCTTCTCAAAACCCAAAAATGCATTGTGTAAATCTATCTGTATAAGTGTACTCATCATATTTTCTTGCCACATGGGAAACATAGTGTTTTGATTCAACGAACTTCGTACACCATCAAAGACATGATCAATCAATTGCTACGATAATCCCAATAAACTAATACTAAATCTCGAAAGCTCTAATAGCAATTATAGTAACCTTATGTGCAAAACATACTAAGATTCCGAATAATTTAGAATAATATTAGTTCAATGTTGAATGTAATTAAGATATCAAACACAAACAACCACCAATGAATTATCAAAAATAAAAATAAGAGAGGCATAAAGATTTATGTGGAAGACCCAAACTCTGGAATAACCACGCTCAGAGAAAGCCAAGAATCAATCTACTGTAAACTTCACATATTTACAAAGCTTTAGAAAAGAGATTATAATGAAGTGGAATGACGATTTGGTAATTAGGGTTAATACATTTTTTATCTGCGTCACCTTTCCTTGGCCAAAAGAAACATAATGTATCTTATTGATTCTTACGTTAAGTTTAAAAGGCACAATTAAGTCAAGTTTTGCAAAAGTCAGTTCAGCCCTTGAAGAACACTTGTCAGTTTTGGAAGGCAGAATCCATAATTTTTCTTTATAATATGTAAAATCAATATAGCCTTTAGACCCAAGGCCCTTAGGGTTTAGGTTAGGCTGATGCCTCTTATGTATTCCTATTTATATTGATGATTAGCTTTCACTATTAATCAATCAATATATTATGAATCATGGTATTAATTAGAATTTACCCTATATGCTAACATACTAACAATCATTAGTATTTTTATCCGAGTATTTTTTTTATGTATATTACTGTATTGTAGTCAAAAAGAGATTCACATATACGTATTAACCTTAGGTATTTGGTTTTTTAGAATGTTTCTGTATTTAATGCTCATGAATATAATATAAGTCAAAATGTTTCTTTTAATTGTTAATATAGCAACTTTTGTTAATATAGCGACAGAGTGTACATATATCTGTCATAATTAAACATAAACTTTGTCGCAAATATGTCACTAAAGACAGTCCGTATGAAATGGTTCACAACCAAATCCTCGAGAAATTTGTAGAAAATATGAACAATAATTGTGATGAAAAAAAATCCATCTGTAGTTCATCTCAAAAAATTTCAGACAAAAAATTTGTCACATATCTTCATGCACAGCAGACGGCGGTTGGAGATCCTTTCTATTGGTAAACTCTGTCAGAATTTTTTTTTCGAAACCGGTCTAAAAACTAGCCTCACTCTTTTCTTCGATATTTTTTTGTCTAAACTGCTGATAAAAAGCCATTTCCAATGGTTACGATGGATTTGGCCATCGGAAATTGTCCTTTTTTCTAGTAGTGAATCTGAATTACTCGAGCCTATGCATACGAGTAATCTTGCAAGTAATTTTTTTTTCGTAATTATGCAAGTTTATAATTTTTATAGACAAAATTGCAAGAATGGTCTTTGTAGTATGTCAAAACTCGCATGTTTGGGCAAAAAAAGTTTGGACTAGTAACAGTGGTCGAAAACTTTCATTTTTTTTGTGAGTTTGGTTCAATTTGGTTTGAAATTTTTTGTAAAGATGATTTTGCCCCTTATTATTTAATTTTTTTATTTTTGTTTTATAACCAACAATTAAAAAAAATACTCTCTCTCTCTCTCTCTAAAAAAAGCTTTAGCTGGTTGTATGCTACAACCCAAACTTGTTATTGCTTATAAAAAATTAGAAATTTAAGTTCTTGAGTTCAGATCTTTTATTTGTATGTGTTCATGTTCCAGATTTCTTGTATGTGTTATTGTCATCTTGTGTGTGTGTTCCAAATCCATTTCTTTGATGTTCTGGTTTTTGGAAATTCGATCTGGATATAAAACTACAATATGTGTGTTTTGTTGTGATCTGAAAATCAAAAATAAATCCATACACCCCATCTCTATCATACACACAACACACAACATCAAGAGCACAATAGAATCAATGATTTCAGGAACAAAAACATTTCTATGTGTGTGTGTTTTCTAACCCGATTCCAACAACAAAAAACATTTTTTTAGAACTCAAGAACCCAAGAAATCTACAGATTGAATTTGATGGAACGCTACCTCTCTCTCTCTCTCTCTCTCTCTCTCTCTTACAGATAGGGTTTCAAATCTTGAAAACCAAAATGAAACCATAATCTAGACTCATTCTTATAGATCTTGAAACGAGAAGGGCGATGATATTAGGCTTTCAGGAAACGAGAATGACGACAACAAGAGAAGGAGAGAGATGTAGACAGATGGAGGGGTAGTCGGCGATGTCTCTCCTTTTTTGGTGACATCGTCTCTCTCCTTCTCCCCTTATGCCGTTGCCTTTTTGCTTCTTTTGCGTTCGCGCTTCTTTTTGTTGTTAGATTTTCTTCAGATATGTTTATCAAGAGGTTCTGGTTTGGTTAGGGTGTGTGTTCATTAGATTTTATGTGTGTGTGTGTGTGCGTGTGTGTGTTCATCTGATTTTGTGTGCGTGTTCATGAGATTTGATTTTGTTTCTAGGATGATTTTTTGGTGGAGATGAAGTGGCAGAAAAAGTTTAGGTGGAGATAGAGGTGGAGGTGGCAGACGGAGGTGGTGGCGAAGGGTGGTCGAACGGTGGTGTGACGGAAAATGTTCTTTAGTGTTCTTCAATCTATGAATATGTTTTTGGGTGTTTATCAAACACAAACCCGGAGAGAGAGAGAGAGATATATATATATATATATATATATATATATATATATTATATATATATATATATATATATATATTTTTTTGTTCAATTTTTAATTGTTGGTAATAAAACAAGAATGGAAAATTAAATAATAAAAGACAAAATCGTATTTACAAAAAAGTTCAAATCAAATTGAACTAAAGTAACACGAAAATAAAACTTTTGAACCACTCATGATGGTCCAAACTTTTTTGGCCGAAAAAAAACCACTTTTTGCATACCACATACACCATTCTTGCAATTTTGTCATTTTAATATGGAAAATACATACATTGTCATTCACGATATACACTAAAATATTACACGCAGTTCTAAAAAAAACATTACAATAAGATTAGTTGTGGTCAAGATTTCAACAATCGAACATTAAGTCTTCTAAGCCATACAGAATGAAAAATCATGTGAAAGACATCAAAAGGTTTAGCTGGAATGTTAACTGCAAAATGTCTTTGCACTTCGATTAATCTTTTTTGCATTTCCAAATACTTGGAAAAAGGTATGTCTTGCAAAATCTTTTTGAGATTTGGAATGTCGTCGACAGGCACTTGTACTGAAAACTGACTCCAATCCAACACATCATTATATGGTATAACGTAATTCTTCTTGATGATTACTGGAACACATCCCACATAGATTGCTTCTGTTAACCTAGAGGTTGCAACTTCATAGCCGCTAGGACTTAAGCAGTACTTACTTTTGCTCAACCATTCAGTGTGGTTTTGTCCTTTTGGAAGGTAATTGTAAACTTGAATGTCTTTATCTTCATTGTTTCCCCAATGTTCGAACAAACGTTTTCTTACATCACCATGTATACCACCCGCAAAGAATGCAAAGATTGAACGATTATAAGGTGAGTGGCCACTACTTATGACTGGGATATTGTTGAATGGCGCTGTACTTTCTGTCATCGACACATCACGACTTGGATCGAAACCTTCCGAGCTGTTGGCATTACAAAGCACTCTTATGAAATTCTTAAAGAGTTTAGGGTTTCCTGTTGAAACAATTGGACCCTACATACACATGGTAGATTAGTAAGAAAAATGCACCTATGATGATGAGGTTAATTAAGTAAGAAAAAATAGGTAACTAATAGCTAAATATACACACCCAATCATGACATGATACATAGAAGTGATCAGCTCCATTGCTACGGTTCCAGTAAGGATACTTTTCTGCAATCACCTTAATGTAGTCTTCGAGTATTGCTTGCATCCGTTCACGAAAACCCCAGGCTTCCTCAGGCGTAAAAAGGTAGTGAACAATGTTGGTTACACTTAAAGGGATAAAGAAAGCATGTGCTTCATCAGGATGGTTAGCCACTATCGGATTTCCTTCTCTCTCCATCTCCTCGATGAAATCACCCTCGATACTGTATACAAGTTTCATTGGACCATCATGCATCAAGGGGGCATCTCCTTCCTTATAAGTCCATATCTTGAATGTCTTCATCATCTCCGTATGACTCCTGATCATGGTTCAAGAAAATCCAAAAGTTGAAATCTAAAGGGCTAATAGTGCCAATGCTTTATATTTCAGGATCAGTTTGGCAATGTATTCTGAAAAGACCATTCAAAGAAAAAATAAACTTATTTTAAGGTTTTAAGAGCTTCATGACTTCATCTATATTATCAACTCTTAGGATTAATTTACAGGCAATAAAATAAACATTATACCAGAAGTAAAATGCACAATTGCAACAAAAAACTAGAAAATTACTTTAAGCAATCATTTCTTTAATTTTGGTTTTGTAAGCTGGAAAATTAACAGTATCTTAAAGGAATCGGACCAAAAAGATCAAGAAAGTTCTATGATTTAAACACTTAACTGAAAAAAGGCAAATGGGTTCTTGTAGACGGTTCCTTTGGGGAATAAACTCCTATCTTTTGGAGACGATATAAAGCTCCTCTCAACAATTGCATTGCGGATTTTGCCTCTTGCCTTAGCTAACTGTTCTTCGATTCTTGCCAATGTAATGTCATTTTCCTATCGATCAAACACATAGGTTACAAAGTTTTCTATCAGAAAAACTGCAAAACTAAAATCAAAATAAGGAAGCATATTTTCTTTTGGAGGAAGGAATGGTTACGAAAAATACTTTGACTTTGGATTCACCATCATCTTGCAAACTGGACAAAGAAAGAGCACTTTGGGTTTCATTTATTGGAGATCCATCCGGTACAAGAACAGAAAGCGAAAGTATAGTTAATATGATAAGGAATTTGGTAGCAGCCGCCATTTTTTACTCCCTCTGGATCATCTTCTACATGCCAAGCTTTTGTGTAGATAGTATATATATGCAAACATCATATATATGTATATACGCACCTACATTTATCCAGCGGAAGCAACGGCTAGGGGATATATATATATATATATATATATATATATATATATATATATATATATATATATATATATATATATATATATATATATATATATATATATATAGAGGAGAGTTCAATTGAGAAAAAAAAAAGGTTGAGAATGGGGGAATCATTCTCAACCACTTATTTATTTTTGCCGCAAAAGCCTCCGTCGTACCAACGGAAATGGGAAAGGAATAGACATGTGTTTTCCAACAAAACATGTTTCCTTAAACTATGCTAAGCATTACCTTAATATATACAAAAACATAGTTTTTTTCGTTTTTTTTTAATTTTTAAAAAGCTATTTTTATCGAAAAATGATTTTAAATATACCAAAATTCATGATTTTTTATTCTCTGTAAATAGACATCCATATTGATATAGTTTTAAGATAAAATAAAAAATTTATTTTTTTTATATTTCAGCTATCGTTATTCATAAATGAATAAAAATGAATCAAGTTTTTACTACAGTACATTCGTTATTCACTTATGAATAAAAAGTATGATTAATTTTTTTTTACAATTTAAGTATCATTCATATATGAATATAACATATAATAAACATAGTATATTCATATTTAAATATTAGACGATGCATTCACTTGTGAATATTACATAGTATATTCACTTGTGAATATTAGATGGTATATTCACTTATGAATATTAAATAATATTTTCATATCTGAATATTACATAGTATTACATGGTATATCACATGTGAATATTACATAGTATATTCACTTGTGAATATTATATGATATATTCACTTATGAATATTACACAGTATATTCACATATGAATATTACAAGGTATTTTCACAAATATATATAATTTTTATATGTTATTCACATATGAATAACATACAGACTTGCATATTTGTTTTTTTGTTTTTAATAATCATATACTGATTCAGGTGAGAAAACATATTCATATATGAATAGAACGTGGTAATTTAGTTTATGCATTTCATTAAACAGTTAGAGTGCATACAATTTAACTTTTTTAAAAATGTTAAAAACATGATACTTTGACTATTTAAATCTTACAAAATAGTATATTGATAGAGAATTATATGAAATTTTTCAAAAAAAAAACGTTTTGATCTTTTTCTAACCTTAATTTTGAAGTTTTATTTGATAATCGATGTTGAATGAATGATATGAAATGGATTTTTTGTTGATTATCGATGATGTTGATCTAATGACACTGGGAGTATAATTAATCGTAGATGTTGAAAATCTGATTGTATTCAAGCAGAATTGAAGGTTGGATTAAAAAAACAAAAAACGAATTTTTGTTGTTAACTGTTGAATCGTGTTGATAAACATGTTATTGACGAAGATCGATGATTGATTAAAACTGGATGATGTTGATGATGGTTTAATTGAAGAAATTTGGATGATTGTTGAAGGTTGGAGGAGAAATTTGGATGATGAACGATCGATTAGAAATAGGTTTGAACTGTTATCTATTTCTATACAGTTACGTATTTGAGATTGAAGGTTATTATCATATTTACAAGTTTGCCACCGTGTCTTTTTATGCTTAGATTAAATGAGTGGCTGAGAATGATTCCCCCATTCTGAACCTTTTTTATTTTCTCAATTGAACCCACCTCTATATATATATATATATATATATATATATATATATATATATATATATATATATATATATATATATATATGGTTGGGGTTTCCTTTTGTTTCCACCATCGGGGACAGCGTGAGAAAGCTGAATTTCGTCTTTTATGCTCTGCAGGCGCTTGCACTTTCCCCTCTTCTTGACCCGGCGCGTGCTGCGACCGTGGGAAGCGCCTCCCCTTGGCCAGGTGAGAATATCACCCGCGTTTTTCTTTGTGCCTATCAATCTTGCGTTTCACACTGTCACTTGGGGTGTTGTTTAGCTCATCAGAGGCCCTTGTTGGTTCTCTTCTATAGGAAAGCTTGCGTGTTGGATTGAGTGGCACTCAGCCTCTATCTTTGTCGTTCCTGGCGCTTAGCTCCTTCATTCCAGGGAATTTTGGTTCATGTTTGACATTAGCCAAGATCTGCTTCGAGTCTCGAATCGCTCTTTGGCTGGGCATGACTCGGCCATCAATTGTGGGCCAGACTGGTGCCTAGGTCTGTTCACTATTCGGATAAAACCGAATTGTCCAATTGGACAATTAGGATTGGACTATTTGGTTCGGATATTTGGATTTTCGGATAGATTTCCAGTAAAACCAAATTATTATTTTGGATTTCGGATTGGTTACGGTTTATAAAATTAAAACCGAATAGTCCAAAAAAACCGGATAAGAGTTATTTATTTATTTATTTATATATATTTATTTATATATATTTATTTCAAATATACATCTTTTAGTTATTTATTAATTTGTTAAACTGTATTTTCAAATAGATTGGAAAGTATTATCCAATAAAATACTTCAATGTATACTTTTCAATAGATTTTTATTAATAAAAGATTGAATTATAATAAAATTTTTAATAGTTGTTCCTAATTTTAAGTCTCAACAAACAATTTATTTTAAAGTTGATTAATATTATGTTATAGAGTATATATTTTTAAATGTCTCACTTATTGAAAACCAAATTGTAAAAAAACGATCCAACCGAATTGTAATTTGAATGGTTCGGATCGGATTTTAAATTTAATTTGGATTATTCGGATTCACATTTTGAAAACCGAAATTAATATGGATTCACCTGATTGGATCGGATCAAACATATCCATCCAAACGAACACCCCTACTGGTGCCCTTGCCCGCGGGTAGGCACTTCCTTGCCTTGCAATCTTCGCTCTGTACGCTGGCTGAACCATCTTTAGGCCAATGCTTGTTTCTTTCTGTGGAAGAGATGTTGTGAGCCATCTGAATACATCTCTTCTCCTTTTCCTAGACTCGTGGACCGGCATTTATGCTGTTGCAGACCTCTGCTGTGGATTTTCCACCTTCTGGAAACTTTCGCTTCAACACAATTGAGTTTCTTGCTCTGTTTCTCGTTGGGTAATGTGTCTATTATTTGGCTTGGTTGCTACTACCATTGTCGATCCGTCACTCGTGCTAAATTTGAGAATACCATGGAGAGTAGACGGAATCGCTTGTAATTGAAAAAGTGTTGGCCGGCCTAGTAGAACATTATGTTCAGTCGGACGATCAACAACCGAGAACTCAAGTACCCTTGTTATCTGTTTTGCCCCATCATGACTGACCAATGTAAACAGGGGCATAATTGTTCCTACTGCCCAGATGTCGTGACCAGTGAACCTAACTAGCGGGCCTCGGTGTGGTGGCTGGAGGTGTTTTTTCCATTCAATCGGTAACCGCCGAAGTCAGTGTTCATAGATCACGTTGACCCTGCTTCCGTTATCAATGTACACATGCTCAACACGGTTTAGCTAATGAAACCGATGATGTGTAATGGGTCATTCGGATCCCAATGCTCTGGCATGGGGTCACTCATTGAAAAGGCTATATTGAGTATGTTTTGATGGTATACCTTCGCGCTTACGTGCTGGCTCTGGCGATTGCTGCATGGGCGGGGCCCGGTGATGGTAAGAATCTTTGCCCTCCTTTCATGGTCCTTTCCCCCATCCTTTTTGAGTTTTAGGTTCGTGGTTACCGTCATCAAATTTTTCCCTGATCTCTTTTGCTATGTCAACTATGTTTCCAACTAGTTGTTTCTCATTGATCTCCCGCTTCAATACTGTGCATTCGGTGGTATCATGAGTTTTCCTCTTATGATATTCACATAACTTGGTCTTGTCCTTGCTCTCCTTTGCTGGAACTTTGTTGATTGCATGGACATCTGTATGGTCATTCATGTTGTCATCTTTTTTGAATGGTCTATACCTCCTCGATGTGTGTCTGGAATGGTGATTGTGCCTTTGTTGGCTGTCGTCTTGCCTCTCTTGCTGGGCTGAGCTCGGTCGAGACGCTGCTTCCTCCTGTTTGATGTATGTGTTGGCTACAACTTTTAGATTGGCCTCCTTTCGCTCTTCCCCTTCGATTTGTCTCAAATATTTTTCCACACGGAACTTAAGCTCGTCCCTGGATTTGGGGACTGTCCATTGCATCTTCTTGGATAGGGGTCTAGGAAGCAGACCTTGGGCGAAGGCGCCCGTCACCAGGAACTCTTCATGCCCTGGGACATTCAAGGTAGCTAGCATGAATTGATCGTAATAGTCACGAACCGACTCTCATTTTTGCTTACACGCCATCACAGAGTTGGCGTCCCCTTTTCCCTTCCTCAACTGCATGAAGTTGTTGAGGAAAAGGTATTTCAACTATTAAAAACTCGAGATACTGCCTGGCCTTAGAGACTTAAACCACTTGCCTGTATTTCCTGTTAGGGTACAGGGGAAATAGGTGCAGGTGAAGCTGTGATCCATCTGAAGAGATGTCATCGTCCACTCGTAGTTCTCGATGTGGTCATCCGGATCAGTAGTACCGTCGTACTTTGGCATGTTCGGTATCATCGCAGTGTGTGGAATCTCGTATGGGAGCAGCTCATGGCTGAAATTAGAGCTTGCACTTTGCATAGGGTTGTCCATGTACGGGTATGACATACCGCCATAGGCCATATGATGTTGCGTCTGGTAGGGGATCGTGTACATCTGGTTGTGCATGGCCGCCGGCGAGATGTATGGTTGATATTGTTTTAAGTTTAGCTGCAATCCAAGTTGCTGGAATGCGTATTGCCCTGCCGAATGAACCATGTATGGGTTCACTCATGTATACTGCTACGTGGACGGATTGAATGGTTGAGCGGCCGTCATGAAGGGGTTGAATTTGGGTGTTACTGAGAGATGAACACCAGACCCATAGGAGCTGGATCCCTGATTGATCGAGGTCTGTATTC